GGGACGGCCTGGAGCACGCGGGCCGCGGCTCGGCGAGGTGGCCTCGGCCTCGGCTGCTTTGGGGAAAGTCCGTCTGATTCTTCACGCATTCTTTGGAGCTGTGTCAGCCCCTCCTACCTCCCCCAAGGCTACGGAATAGTTTTCCGAGGGCGTGTACATCACTCATTCACCAAGACTGACACACAGGACGTGAGGCATAGGGGACCCTGGGGCGGACGTGCGGGCGACGCAGGGGGTCGGCGAGCCAGTGTCCTCAAAGGGCTTTGGGAAGGCTGAGCTCTGCTGATGAGCGATTCGAGTGGGGGCTGGGCTTCTAGAGGGACCCCAGAGAGTTCAAAGCCCACCCAGTTAATAAGAAGGGGCATTCATGAGCTAAAGCTTGGTGTCCCTGCCCCTGATCGGGTCCAAGCCAAAGACCGCTTTCTGGAGACCCCATACAAAGGCTCCTATTTCCAAATACTGTTGGGAATCGGGATAGTGCGGCGAAACCAGAAGCCAGTCACGCTGCTCCGAAGATTTCCAGTTTACTTTACAGCTGTGGTTGAATGGGGAGTCCCATTCTGATAAATTTACTCTCGAATGATCCCGTTCTTTTTACAATGTCATCAGGCACCAGAACTTCATCTCTCCCTTTATAAATAAATGCCCCGAGTGTACTAGGTAAAACTACTAGCCAAACCACCACTACCAGGAACATCCGCAGCCCCCTTGCAGAATTAGTGCATAGCACCATCCTATTTGCGAACTACAGACACTGTAAAAATCATGGCATGATCCTAAATGATTCGTGATTTGCCACTGATCTGTGAGTTATCATAACTGGAGATTGTTTGGATGCACTAATCAATCAGTAAATAGCGAGGAGCATACAGACACCATAGTGTAACTAGCGCCAGGCCTTTAGACCTACTATTGACTCATGTGAATCTTCCTAAGCAGCCGCAGAAAAGCTATTTTAATAGTGGTTTTTCTGATTTCTTAATGTTAAGCTCACCATTTACTGCCCCTGCTGATTTTCAATTCACCTGCTCATCTTCATCAAAACCCAGTTGTGTCTCCTCAAAGTACTAGTAACTAGCAGTTTTCCCAACACCATTCAAAGAGTCAGGAATAGAAAATTCATCTTTGGCTCCTGATTCAATCTCCAGGCTACACACGTCCTTTGGTGACCAGAGGAAAATATGTGTGTGCTGTGGCTTAGATTTGTAAAGGAACAAAGAGTTGCAATCCAGCTGTGTTTCCAAAGGTGCGAGAAAACAATGGTGGGCCCCAGATGACAAGAGGCACTTGGGATCCTGGGACAATCTGGGGGAAATAGCTGGCGGATGGTGCATTTGCAAATCCGAATGAGCAGCAAGGGGAAGCCGATGAGCTCACCCTCTTTTACTCACCGTGACTGCATTGGTGGAAGAACTGAGCAGATCAATACTTTCTTTGGGGATATTTTGTTTTGTTAATGGTGTTTTAAGAACACTCTGGTATTTTTCTAATCCTAAGAGAGCCCGGTGGCATAGTAGATTTCATGCTGGGCTGCTAACTGCAAGGTCAGCAGTTAGGAACCATCTGAAGGAGAAAGATGAGGCTTTCTGCTCCCATAAAGATTTAAGGTCTTAGAAATGCACAGTGGCAGTTCTACTCCTTCCTACAGAGTCACTATGAATCGGGTACGACACAATGGCAGTGAGATTTTTGTTTTGAGTCCTCCTCTATTTTCAAACTCAGTCTTAGAGTAATTCCTTTCTCTCTTCACAGTGTCCGCCTCAATTTACTCCCCCCACTGGCCTAAATATTGCTGCTAGCATCCACCAAATTGAGACACTTGAAAGAGCCCACGGTGAGTAAACCATTAGCACTTTCCACTCTAGGAATTCCTTCTAATTCTTCAACAATGACAACTTGAGCAACCAATCATCTTTTATTTCTAAGCTAGTATCCTTTCTCTCCCTGGTATTGAGTTGATTCCGAATCACAGAGACACTCTAGGACAAGGCAGAACCTCCCTTGTGGGTTCCCAAGACTGTAACTCTTTACAGGAGTAGAAAGCTTCATCTTTCTCCTAAGGAGCACCTGGTGGTTTTGAACTGCTGATCTTGTAGTTAGCAACCTAATGAGTAACCACTATGCGAGCACAAAAGTATAAATATTCCCCTGAAGGAGTGAGATTAGGTAAAGCAAGAAGATTGAAGAGAGAGTCTGGCATTGCCACAGGCCTTCAGAAAAATTAATTGTGGGTGATATTAATTATGAAATTTTATGCTTCCAGAAGTTACACAATGACTCTTGGATTTGTTATAGGGCCCTTGGGACAAGGAACATCAGTAATAAATGATGGAGGTCATTTGATGATAGTTATAGATATAACTGTTATAATGTCTACGAATGCAAATATATGTTGTGGGAAGAATAATGGAATTTGTATGAAAATTAAAGATTATTAAAATTGAATGAAGCACTGGCAGATCCTGTGCAATTCCCATGATAGGCTATAGATCTGACCATTATGATTTACAGGGGATTCATTGGCTGATTTATGGAAGTAGATCTTTAGGCCTTCTAGTGGTTCTCAAGCTTCCTAATGCCGCGACTCTTTAATACAGTTCCTCACGTGGTGGTGACCCCCCAACCATAACATTATTTTCGTTCCTACTTCCTGACTGTAATTCTGCTACTGTTATGAATCAGGCAATCCCTGTAGAAGACTCGTTTGACCCCCAAAGTGGTCGTTGCCCACAGGTTGAGAACCGCTGGTCTAAAAATGCAAAAAGTCAAACTCACTGTAATCTAGTTGATTCCAACTCATAGCAACCCTGGTGGCATAGTGGGTCCCAGGGGGTGCTAACTCCACCAGCCTCTCAGAAAAAGATGAGGCTTTCTGCTCCCAGCAACGTTTTCTGTAGTTTTGTTTTGTTTTTGTTTGTTCGTATTAGGGTGTATCTCAGAGGTGTTATGTCATTGGAGGCCACCCTCAGGAAGTTGTGTTATATTTTTCTGTGTTTTGGTCTATGAAACGCAGGACACATGAACCTATAGGGGCAGAAGAAGGGTTTGGGGGGCGGGGTAGGTACGTTGGTGAGGGAGTGGGGGTAAAAGGGAAATGATCTTCAGGAGTCCAGGAAGAAAACGAATGTTTAGAACCTGATTGTAGTAGCAATTGTACAATTCTGCTTGATCTGATTGAACTATGGAATGATATGCTACGTATGTATTAACTCTCAATTAATAATAAATTAAGCAAACTACCAAAAACTACAGCTCTGGAAACCAACAGGGGCAATTCTACCGGATCCTCTAGAGTGGCTATGGGTCACAGTCTAAAAGCTCCCTTGAAATCCATTCAGCATTGTAGTAACACGAAAGCCTGCATTGGCAGAAGGCTGGCTGAGCAGGAGGAGTACTGGCTAGAAATCAAGGTAGGAATCCTACCACTAAACCACCACTAAATCCTACCACTATTATCTCAGTAAACTGAATAAAGTTCCTGTGTACAGCAGTGGTTCACAACCTTCCAAATGCCACAACCCTTCAGTACAGTTCCTCATGTTGTGGTGACCCCCACCCCAACCATAACATTATTTTCATTGATACTTCATAACTGTAATTTTGCTGCTATTATGAATCAGACGACCCATGTGAAAGGGTCATTTGACCCCCCAAAGGGGTCGCAACTCACAAGTTGAGAACCTCTGGTGTACAGCAATTGAACTTCTTCAAGAAATGGGGTTTATAATATACTGACTTTGGTTCAGAAAGCAAGTTAAAATATTTTCATACGTTTGTAACATTAACAATTCTGCCAAACCTTTCAGTGCTTGTCTTCATTATGTAACTAATTTTGATAAAGAAAATGTATATTCTCTTTAGGACACAGGGCTTTTCATCATGTTTTTATGAATTTCTAGTAACGTTTCTATCTTATATCCTAGAAAATGCCCCATTCCCAAAGCCCAACACTTTAAAGATATTCAATAAATGTTAAACAGATGAACACTCAGTTTTCTGGTTGCTCAGGGCTCCTACTTTGCCCCGAATTCTTTCTAATCCAAAGGTTAAATAAGTTTGACACACTATGTCTATGGAAGATGTACCAAAAACCATCACTGACTCAGCATCTAGAACTGTCCTAAGTTTCTTTGGCAGAGCAGAATTCCCATTCCCCAGCCTTTGAGTTCATGCAGCTTCACTTCTGCCTCAGTTTCCCTACCAGTAAAACAAGATCAACTGAGCCTTGCCTTCTACCTACTCTGGCAAGGCTTTTCATGTGACGTTTCAAGTCACTGATGTTTAAGATCCTCAGGCAGAAATCAACTAAGGAAGTCTTTGTTTTGTTGACGGTGCAGAATTCTGATCTTCATGTCATGCACTTGGGAGAAAACAGAATTGTATTTTTAAGCATTCTTTAAACTTTACGGAACTATATCCAGCCGAGTATTGAAAGTCTTTACACTGGGAAGGAACGACATGTCACTAAGGGGCAAGAAAAAGCTGTGGTGGTGAAAAAGTCACTTTCATATACGAATGTCTTCAAGAACATGGAGTATGTAAATGACATACATTTGCCCCATTATTTATACTC